CAGTAGTTTGAATATAAACAGTAGTTTGAATATGAACAGTAGTATGACTATAAACAGTAGTATGAATATGAACAGTAGTATGAATATGAACAGTAGTTTGAATATGAACAGTAGTTTGAATATAAACAGTAGTTTGAATGTGAACAGTAGTTTGAATATGAACAGTAGTTTGAATATAAACAGTAGTATGAATATAAACAGTAGTATGAATATAAACAGTAGTTTGAATATAAACAGTAGTATGAATATTAACTGTAATACCTGTAAATGTTCATACAGATATATAAAAAACTTTATTCAAGATACACGTGTTGTTTTTGCTTTAGATTATATTCATGTTTGTATTAAAAGCTGAAAGTAGACAAACATCAATATTTGTTCAAATAAGAAACATGTTTCATGTTTTAATCTAAAAAAGTTAAATCTGGTCCTCTGGACATTCAAAAAACAAAACAAAGCAAATTGAATTGAATTGAATGTCCAGAGGATCAGATTTAACTTTTTTGAATTTTTCTACCTGGATTATTGAGCAAGCATCAGGATATTTGATGTTTTAGGTCTTTGTTATGAAGAAAGTCACACCAAATTATCTTTATAAATAATTTTTTCATTTAGCCTTTATTTATACAGGTAGTGTCATTGAGCCACGAGAACTCATTTTCAAGAGAGACCTGTTTAGGGAGCAGATGGTGGGGGTTAAGAGCCTTGCTCATGGGCCCAGGGCGGGGCGAATGAGGGTGGGGGCAGGTGTGGGTGCTTCTTCCTATCGCAGGCCCACCTTCTCTAACCTCTGCGCCACCACTCCCCCCATTCTTATCATTCACAAAAACATTTTAGGAATTTTTTTTAATGTATATATTTTTTCCAATTCATTCTCAGTTATGGAGACTTCAAAATATAACTTTTGGTATTTCAGTTCTCTGTAATTTTAATTCTGATTTGTAAAAATAGAGTTTTGACTTGGAGTGAAAACTAGTATCTAACTGATGTGTTTGATTATATGTTACAACGTCTTGCCACACAATGAGTAAGTCATTTCTGTTTTCAGTCTTTTGTTATTGTCATTTATTCATGCTATGTTTAAATAAAAAAAATAAGATGATAAAATTAAACAAGGAAGAATAAAAAAAACTGATTTTACTAAAAAATATTTACGTTTTTCTTTGTTTTCTTTTCATCATTGGTTCCTAGTTGAAGTCAAACATTGCCTCTGTGTGGCTTTTATCTTTAAAATCGTATTATTTATTCATAAAATCACATTTTTTAAATTACGCAGTCGGTAAAACTGCGTAAAAGCTGCACAAATACAAGTTGTTGCTCTAATGAAATTAAAATAAACAAATTTTGTTATGAACAATATACGACAAAAGTGCAGACTGAGACCATGTGATCCATTTATTCAATTCAACCTTTATTTAAACAGGTTAGTGTCATTGAGCCTCGAGGACTCGTTTACAAGAGAGACCTGATTTAAACAAAGAACACAGACGAGGTACAAACAACAATAGACGATCACGTATAAAAAGTAAATGGAAGAAATTATACAAAAAAAACGAAAATTTATGTTTTTTTAAATTATGACCCTGGACGCCTCAACTGGCTCCTCTTGATGTGGAGGAGCAGCGGTTCCACTCCGAGTCTCTCCTGAAGAACTGAACTTCTCACCCTATCTGGAAGAGTCCAGCTACCCTGTAGAGAAAACTCATTCAGACCTCCTGGATCCAGGATCTGGTTTCTACCCCACATTGTTCCTCCTGGCACAAAAAATAAATCGTAAAACGCTTTTTAGAAGTTAAATGTAGCAAAAGTCTCAATTTTTAGCTCTAAGATAAAAGTAGCAAAGGGCTAGTTAAACCTAGTAAAAGGTTAATTAAAAGTAGCAAAAAGCTATAAGATTTAAAATACTAGTTTAAAGTAGCAAAGGGCCAGCTAAATATAGCAGAGCGCTAGCTAAAGGTAGCAAAAGGCTAGCTGAAAGTAGCAAGGGGCTAGCTATATGTAGCAAGAAAGTTGCAGCTAAGAAAGGTTGAGTCTTCAGCTGATTCTTAAAGAAGGCCCAGGGAGCCCATAGAACAGACAGAACTTCAAAGCAGCCGAACATTAGCTAAAAGCTAAAACTGACTCTGTTATTTTTTTGGCTCTCTCAACACAGGCCTGTTTGTGTTTGTTTGGTAAATGTTCAGCTGCTGTTCTGCCCTTCAAGACCCCTCACAGCTAAACCTTATCCAGTTAAAGCCCCGCCCCCTTGTCTACACGGCCCGGTCCACTTCAGGTTCCGAAAGTGAATCCGTGATGTGATCATGTGATCAGCAGCAGCCAGCTGCCACAGAACCCCCTGACAGGTTGGACTTTCCTCCACACCTGACCTGATTTTCCTCCAGCAGCAAGACGTGAATGACGTCATCATAAAGCCAGAGTAGCCAGCAGGGGGCGCCAGAGATCGGCCATTTTCCCTCCACGCCTTTGATCTGCTTTATTTAACTTCCTGTTTGTTTAGTCTGGGAGACGATTACAGCCAATTTAAACTGTTTTAATCAGATTGATTTCAATAATTGCTTCAGAAAGCATCGACACATCCAGGGTTAGAAACATTCTCAGTGTTTACAGTTTACATTAACTTGCGTCTAATTATGGCTGGAAA